GCCCGGCGCGAGGCCATCGCGTCAGCGCGGGGGGCTACAGGGGCCTGGGCCGTCGCCCTGGGGCGCGGGCACAGCGCGAGGCCCGCGCGGGTCTCTCGCGCCAAACGTGCGCAACAAGGTCGGCCCGCCCGCCGGCTGGCCCTCGCGGGCGACGCGACGCCGGCGCCGACTGCGAGGCCGACTGGGCCCGGAGGATTCCTGAGAGTCCCGGGAAGGGGCAGCGGGCCGCGATGGAATCGGCGCGGTCATTGGCGCCCCCCCCCCGCGCCCGGCCCCCCTTGCAAGCCGACTCCTCCTATCTCAGGCCAGTGTTCGGCCACTGTTTGGGGCTCGTCGGGGGGGCTGCCCCGCGCCGGCCTGGGGCGCTGAGTTATTGCTAGAGCGGGGTTGCCGCGTGTCCGAGATTCCTCGGAATGTCGCCAGTGGTCTGTTCGGGCTTGGACAATGCCGGAAGCGTGTAGATGGCGTCCTCGCTGGCTTCCTCGCCCCGCGCGTGCCCTGCCCCCTTCCGCCTTCTCAGGCTCATCCCTCTGCTTGCCCGCTTCCGCCCCCGTGCCCTCGGCTGCCTGCTCGGCGTTCCCGGCCATCGCAGCGCGCAGAGCCTTCTTATCTTTGCTCTCGTCTACCTTCTCGCCGGAACCCGAACAGCTCACCTTGCCCTCGACCCCGCGCGGCGCCGCCTGAGGCGCCGCTGCCCCATCGTGCCCGGCACCGCTTGCGTCGCCCTCATGATTCGCGGTCGGAGGCTGGATGCCCCCCGTCCCAATCGGCGACTGGCCCGGGGTTCGAGCCGATCCTTGCGCGGAGTCGCTCGCGACACAGTCGCGAGACGACCCGGCGCTGTCAGATTTCTCCTCCACCACCTCCTCCTCCTCGGGAGCCCCCATGGCTGCCCCCCCCCCCCCCCCCCCTCGGAAGTTTTCTCCGCCGTGCCACGTGCAACAGAGGCTGCAGAGTGCGACCTTGAAAGTGCGACTCGTCCGAATCGCTTCCCTGATGGCATCCTGGCACCGCGCGTCGACGACGTCGAACTCGAACTTCGCAATTTCTGGCGGTGCGGAGAGAGTGACAGCGTTTGCCCATCGGCTGCATTGCTGGCACTGCGGAATGCACATGTCCAGGTGTCTGGCGGAGTCCTGCCTGCAGCGTGAGCGCCCAATCAGGGGGCGGAGGAGCTCCGCTTCCATGCGCTTCCTCGGCGTCGCACGGAAACGGCCGAGCAGCGCTCGCGCGTTCACCTGCAGCAGGCGCGCCTCGTCGCGAGACGCGGGCGCGCCAGGGGTCTTCTTTGACCGGCGCTGGGGCGCGCTCTTCGCGAGAAGGGGGGGTCGGTGGAACGGTGCCCCCTCGCGCGGGCCCAGCCCCTGATCTGCCTGAGGACCAGCGGTATTCTGGAAAGGCAGCGCCCCCGTAGCGCAGAAACTGTTGCCGAAACCAGCCATGCCCGAGCTTCCTCTAGCGTTGCACCCAGAGTTCACTCCTGTTTTAGTCGGGTTCCCATGGTCTCTCCCTTCACCTGCTGGTCTCGTGGCATTAAGCGCACGGCGCTCCTGCCCGTGTCCTACGAGCCCGGGGCCGGGGCCTTGCCGGCCGCCGGAGCGCCCGCGACATAGTCACAATGCACTCCTTCGCCATCATCGCCGGCTTCCATTTCCTTCTCCTGGACCTGGTTGATGCGTCTGGACGCCGAGAAATCCTCAGCAGCGCGATGAGTGCAACGAGCGTCTGGCCCAAGTTCGGCGACGCGATCGTCGTTGTCAACGATGCCCAGCGAAGAGGCAGACACGCTTTAATTTTGCGACTTGCCCAATTAGGTCGATGCCGATGTGTGAGCTTGCTCTGCGTTGAAATTCGAAAGGGAATGCGTTCTGGCGGGCCAATCGGCCTTGGAGGTCTCACAATAAGATTTCAGGTGATGGATCTTCCGATTCCTGCGCTCTTTACGTCGTGGGCCTCTTGCCGACGAACGCCGTGGGCCTCTCGCCGACGAACGCTGCAGACCCTCCCCTCTTGCCGACGGACGCAGCAGGCTCATTGGGGATCAGCAAGTCCCGGATCCCCCTGTCCCCCGCGTCATACTTTTCATCTCCACCGTCGTCCTCGCTCTCTGCGAGGAGGTCGTCCTGCTTGACGTTGCCCGGAATGGCCTGAGTCTTGTCGAACTTTGTTGACATCGCGGGGGCCGCGTGATCTCGACCTTGCACCAGCCGCGCATCAGAACACTGCTGGCGCGTGAGCTGCTGAGCGCAACGTAGGATAACACCAGCATGTGAGGACTCAACAAACGAAGCGCGAAGTTACTGGCCCAAGCATGTATGGAACGGGTATTGTACATGACGGCGCGTGATCTACTTTCGATGTAGTTTAGATCTAAAATACACGCGTACATAATCTACTTTGGAATTACTTTAATATTGCGCATGCATAATCCCTGATAGCGGGGGCACGCTTTTTCAAAACTACCTATAACAACTCAATCGAAAGTACATCGAAACTAGATGATAGCAAACTCCTGCTAGCTTCTAGATCGCATCGGGAATATCTTACTCCGAGTTTCTCCATCAGCGACGGGGGGGCATCGCCCCCGCCGACGGCCCCGCATCGAACCCCGTCGCGGGCAGCCACCGCGCGGAAGGCGCGCCGACCCCCGTCGCGGCGCGACGACGAGGCGAGGTTGACCCCCGTCGGAGGGGAGCCCCCCGCCCCGCCCCCCCCCCCCACCCACACCCGGGCCCATTAGAAAACCCAGAGTACACGTAATTGACAAACGCACGCACTCTTACGTCACGCAATGCACGATGGGGCAGCATATGATGGCCAGTCGAACTGACATTCTTCAAGACGCTCATGGCAGGAAGACTCACTGGGCCCCTGCACGTCCGAACAAACGGTTTGTTACGGCAAAACAGCTCGCATCCCAAAGATACCGCGTCCGCGCTGAATCATCTGCGGCGATGGTCGCTGCAACTGCTGCTGCGCGCTGGCGCGGCTAGTGTGCTTTGCGCTGGCCATGAGCTTAGGGGGTAACTTAGCGCCCTTCATGCGCTTGGGGGGGCCACGCGCCTGTCGGGCATTTCCAACCTACAGCGCACCTCACGGGACGATCAGTTTTTGTTGCAACGGCTCGGCGGGAGTCCCACTTCGGATTGTAACCCCCAAGTGCGCGAGTGCCTCCGCGAACGAGCCAGCAATTTTCTGCTGCGCTGGCGAATCCACGCCACCTTCCACGCGCGGCGACTGGTCAACCAAAAGGGGCCCGAAGAGCCTGGGGCCCAACAGGAACGAATGGGGATGTCATAGTGCACGGGCGACTCGAGCCTCGAACAACAGCACGCATAACGCAAACCCATTGAACCACGGAGTGCCATGCTCATGCCGCGTCTTTGCTCTGATCTCTATGTTTATGCAAATGTCTCTCCATCTGTGTATAAATACGTGTCTAGATCGATATTCGCATCCGCGCATGCGCGCGCGATGCCGCGCGTCGCGCGTCCGCGCAGGCGTCGCTCTCTCAAACCCTCGCCCCCTGAAGACAGGGGGGGAGACGTGGTGGGGCGCCGTGTTCTGTCGCCGGGAAAAATCGCAATCGGGCCGCCGATGGCCGCGCGAGTGACGCCGGTGATGTTCGCGTCACTCTCCGCGGCCTCGTGGAGGTTGATGGCTGCAACCAACTCCTCGCCCTGCTGGAAAAACTGCAACGCCGAATGTCGGCAACGAATTCGTCGATGACGCCGGGGCCGCTGGCGCCCGTTGCACCTGGGAACTTGTCGACGCTAGACGTGCTGATGGCGCCTAGGCTGCATCTTCGCGAAACTATATCAATCGGGAGCGAGGAATGTCAAGCCAAAGGGCGCCGCTCATCGAAACCAATGCCTTCGCGGCCTCCCCTGGCACGTCGCGGGCAAATGCCGCGCCGCCCCGATTCTCTCTGCGCGAACCGCGACGGACCAAGGGGGGCGTCCTCGACGCCGCCCCAAACTCCGACCTCCTGCAGTTTCGTCGCAAGTATGCTCTCGCGCGCGAAAACTTGACCTGGCGAAAGAACGCCTATTTCCTGTCGGTCGGGATAGACGCGGGCTGGCGCGGCTGACGCTTGCGCGCGACCCAGTATGCACCGCGCCGGCAGAAGGGTGGCACGCGCCGCATCGGCCCCGCAAAACCTGAGGAAATGCGGGGGGGGGGGGGGATTGAAGTGGAGTGGGATTGAACTGGACTGCGTAGGATGTGACATTTACATTCGATCTAGCTCGGATCCAATCTTAACGCGCGTGTGCGATCTACTTCTGATCTAATTTTAAACAAGATCCAACCGAACTTTAAAAAGTCACAGGAATGACAGCTGCCCTGTGAGAGGTCCTATACCTGTGGTGACCTACCCTGTGAGGATGTGCCCTATGAGGTTATTCCCTGTGGAGCGACCTTGCGAGGTTCTATCTACTTTGGGTTGTTCTTACATTCGAACCGCATGCGGCTACGCGGTCTAGTTGGGAGCTACTCAAGATCTACACGAAACCGAACATCTGAACGCAACGTGCACGCCAAGCCATATAACACTTCTTTTCGCTCGGCCTGAGCGACATTGAACAATGCCACTTCAGGCGCGCATTTCACATAGAGCACTGCTACTCCTCTCACGACGTGACGAGGGGGAGCCGCATTGATTTATAGCGTCCGCTGCGCGATCTAATTTGAATTTAGTTCCGATCTAAAGCCAACCGGACTTCGCGGGGCATCTTACATGGCGAAGCACATGATGATGCTCGCGGTGATGGTTTGCACATTCATGCGTAGAAGTGGCACTTTACCCTGGCGCTTGAACCTGTGCGCTATGCGCGCTAAATCTCGAGGCAATGCCTAACCCCGAAACAGACATCTACGAGCCCTGACCCGCGCGCAAATGCACCGCGCCGAAAAATTAGACGGCTGTTGCCGGCTCCTCGCCGCGCCATTCCTTGCATTGCGCGCAATGCCCCTCCGGCTGTTTTTTGAGCACCCCCATCCGCTCTCGCGGCGCTGCTTGCGGAGCTCGGCGGTCACGGGCCTCCAGTAATCGTTCTTGCCGCCGCTGCCTTCGCCCGCGTTCGACACCTCGTCGGCGGCGATCGGCTGCGCCTCCTGCTGCTCGATCTGCTCTGCCTCTGGGGGCCCGCGAGGCGCTGCGTCCACCGAGGGCGCGGCCATGGCTGAAGCGCGGTGTGTCGCCTTGGCCTTAGCCTTCGCATTGCCCTGGCTCGTGCCCTCGGCCGTCTCGCCTTTGCCCCTGCCCATGCCCTTGCCCGCGCCCCCCATCTTGCCTGTGGTCAGGCCCTCGTCGCACTTGCTCTTGCCCTTGCCCTTGCGCTTCGACGGCTTCCGGATGCGACTTGGTTCTGGTTCGGACCACGCTTGCTGCTCTCCATGACCGCCGCGAGCACGCCCCAGTCGAGGTCGGCCACGCCCCGCGGGCGCTCTGCTTCCCGGACCTGCAGCGGATCCGACAGGATGAGCGCCGAAAGGGAATCAATTTCGCAAAACGCGATCGCCATGTCAAGCGCGAACTTCTCTCCGCGAGGGACTCATGCTCCTCCTCCTTCTCGATCTCTGATGGGACCTGAACCGGCCTGGGCGAGCTCGATGGAGCCCCGCGGGGCCTCGCGGGGTCGGGCGCGCCCTGCTGCCGGGGCGCCCTCGTCGGCGGCGTCGTCTGCCCTGCCATTCTTCCCATCGGCCACGCCCCCAGGGAAATGCGGCAAAAGGTCGAAGATGTTCGTGGTCTTCTCCACCTCGGCGGCAGACGCCCCCAAAGAGCACCGCGTCCGAGCTTCGGAACTTCTTGCCAACGCGGAAATCCACCCAGAGCGCCGCGATTGCCTCGGCCATGCTGTTGGACCTATCCGCGGCGGAAGCACCCGTGAAAGTTGCCTTCTTCTGCTCGCCGCTCGCGACGAGGGCCTGCTCTAGCATCATTCCTGGCGCTGCCCCTTTCGCGACGATCGGGGCCATGGAAGCGAACGCCCGACCTGCCACGGCCAGGGCGTTCGCCATGTGAGCTGCGCGCCACGTCGCGTCGCGGTCTGCGACGACTCTGAGAAAACCACTGATGTCCTGGTTCGGACAGGCGTCGCGCAAGGACGCGTCGAGGGCGCCCTGGATATCCCCAACCGAAATCGCTGGATTGATCGACAAACGTTCGCTCGCGGGCGGGGGGCGCCGAGGTTCCCGAGCGGCCGCCATGCTGCCAGAAAACACCGCCTGAGCGTCAAAACCGTCGGCTACGATGCGAACCCACGTTGACCCAGAAAGCTTGGCATGATTTCATGACTGTGGACGCCCAGTCACAATAAGCTGTGCAATGCAATGCATGCGACGCGAATTACGCCCACATATACAAACAACTGCGCTAGGCTCTGGGAAACCAACCAATGCGATCCCATGCGGAGACCCGCGAAGCGGTACAACGCAATGGAAGGCAATGCGAATTTTCAAAACAGCATTGTAATGCGCGCTGATCGGTACCATGTTGCACGTCGTGTCTGCGGCGGTTAACTATGTCACGTAATGAGTTATGTGGGAGATTATGAGCTTGGCCATGTTTTGCAGTTCAGTTGCTTGTATGTTCTGTTATAAAATCGGTCGATTCGGTTGTCCGTTAGGTGCATCCGGTTTTTGTTAAATCAATTCGGTTATGATGTCGGTCTTGGTTATTGTTAGGTTATGTGTTCGGTTGTTTGTTACATCGCCGCTCCGAAAGTTCCTCGGATTTTCTGAATTGGGCCCGACGGACTCGTGCGCTCACCTACTTCGCAGCCTTCTTGGCAACGGCCCCCGATTGGGTTGACGGGCAGGATGCGTTGAACCCCCCTCCCCCACTAGAAGCCTAGCAAATAGCCCTCTTGAGTGGTCTTGGCGGGATCCTTGGCGAGTAGTTCCCCCTGTTAATAATATAAAATTAGTCGGGCCAACCATGAATCCCACCCATGAAAAATGGGGGGTCCGGATAATTTCCCGCGGTGGGACCCAACCCCGCCAACGCATGACGTGTTCGGGCCATCCTGAAGTCATCTTGAAAGCATCCCCGGGCCATCTTAAGATCATGGTGCTGCACTCTCGGACTGCTCCGGCAACCTCGGGGTCGCTCGGGGGCCACCGTGCCTGGTCTCCAGGGTATCGCTCACATCTCGGGCCATCTCGGATTCGCCCCCAGGCCATTTCGACGCTGCGTCTGGATCCTGCAGGGGCCACGGGGTCTTCTTGGGGTCGGCCCGAGGTCATCATCGTGCCTGTCTGAGGCCGTCGTGGAACCATCTTGGGGCCATGGGGCCGCCTAGGCATCCTGTCTGGGTCGTCTGGAAATCTTCCGCGTTTCCAAAGAAACTTTCGTTACGCCTAAATAGGTCCGTGGAATTATTCGTTATGTTGTTCGTTGGGTCGCTTTTTCGGGCCATTCGGTTATTCGCCGATTTGTTTTAAAAGGAGCAACCGTCAGGCGATTCGTTAGGTTACAGACAAATTAAAAGTTCAGTTGATCCAGCCCGTTAAACAAGAAATGCCGAATTCGGCAATTTCTGTCAATCGGCTATTTTTGCCGAGCGAAGTCTTGAAAGATGTTTCTTTCGACTCCGAGTTCTCGCTTTCCCGGCTATCCGACGTGCCAAGGCCGCTCAAAAAGGCGCCCGAGACCGCTCCAAGACAGCCCGAGAGGCCCCCGAGAGGGCCCAATGACGGCCCGAGAGGGCCTCAAGACGGCCCAAGAAGCGCCGAAGACAGCCCAACATGACCCCAAGAAGGCCCCAAGAGAGGCCCAAGAGAGGGAACGCGAACCGAAACGTCGAGCTCTCCACCGCAAGAGGCCCTCAGAAGGCACCAGGAGGGCCCCGAGAGGACCCAAGGGGCCCCCAGGGGCTGCCCAAGAGGCCCCCGACAGGTCCCAAAACAGCTCCCCAGGGGCCTCCTGGATGCCTTTGAGAAGCCCCCGAAAGGACTGGCACCGTCCTGAGGCACACAGACCTAAGGAACAAAACAAAAAGGCATCTAGCTTACAGCCGGACGCCGTGCCTCGAGTTGTATATGATTGTCCCTTGAGGCGCGCAGACGACATGCCTCAAGTGGTACTTGTCCTATACCATCAGAGGCATCGAGACGACATGCCTCCAGCGGTACTTGGTTGGCGCCACATGGGGCATCCTGACGACATGCTTCGAATGGCACACGGGTGGTGTCCCCCCTGGAGCACACAGACGGCATGCCTCAAGTAATCACTGTCCTGTATTGCTCTATGCGCGTAGCCGACATGCCTCCAGTGATGCGTGGTCGGTATCACTTGAGGCATACATGCGACATGTATCAAGCGGTACCTGGCCGGTATCACTAGAGGCATACAAGAGACATGCGTCGGGATGTACATGACTGGTGCCGCTGCAGGCATACAGGTGACATGCCTCAAGTGATACTTGGTCAGTACCACTTGGAGCGTATAGGCGACATGCCTCCAACGGTTCTTGGTCTGTACCACTTGAGCACTACTGACGGCATGCGTAAATCGGTACTTCTGCGGCAATGCTAACGGTATGCTTACACGAGGGCGCCCCGCCGGCGATGGCGATGATTAAAACGACGGGACGGCGACGGTGACGACGACATCGCTTTTCTACCAGAATTCGGCCTGCACTCGAAGCTCTGTCCTAACAGTATTCACCCCGAGTTACCACTTGAATGCTAAGATCTGCGTGCTGCGCTGCACTGCGCAACCAATTCGGGAATTGTACTCACTCGTGACATCCGCTGAACGCGGGACAAAGCATGAGCCATGCCACATATCTGCTGAGCAAAAATTGGAATTGACGCTAGACGGTACTGCCGCAATACCGTCTAGCGTCTCCCTCAATCAGCAGTTGAGCCCATTACCGGGCGACCGCTGCGGCGGAAGACTGTTTGCTCTTGATCAAAGTGAGGCAATCGCCACATTTGTACACGTTCCTCTTCGCCCGCAAGTGTGCGTGGCCCTTCTTCGCCACATTCCCACACATACGACCGCGAGCGCCTTGTCATGCAGGCAACGCACCTGCAGTTCTAGCACAGGACAGCGTTCACTTCAGCGAGTGATGCCGGCATTTGTTTCGGATGCAGCGAATCTACGCTGCCGTTGCAACTTCTATGTTTCTTCACTTTGTGCTCCGGCAGATCGCGCACGTCCTGCAATTAGGCGTCGCGCACTGCGGGTGGCAGCAATCGGCGCATCTCAAGCGGCCACTCGGCACGCTGCTGTACTTGAGCTGCTTGTTCGGGAAAGTCGATTTCGTCTTCCACTCTTCGCATCGCAAAAACTGCAATTTGCGGCACTGCTCGCACAGGAAAAACTTGACGTCCGCCAACGTCTTCGGAATGCGCTTCGCATTCAGCCACGAAATCGGGGGCATTCGTATTCGCAGGTATGTGTTTATGATGATTATGCTCTTCTGGTTGTTCATTTTGTGCTTGTATATCGTGTAGAATTGGTCCCACATGGACCCTCGGAGTGAAGGGACCTTCTTGCTGCCATGGCGATAGTATCCTGTAGGCGAGTATACTGTACTAGGTATTTTGGGAGCCGGACGGCCCACGGGAGGGGAAGCCAGGCGCGCGAGAACCTTTGACAGCAAAAACCTGATGCAAAAGTACAATCGTGCGCGTCGCCAGCCTTTTCTACCTGACAGCAGAAGTAGCTACCGCCAACTCTCTATTGGAGGGAGACCGGGGCTCAGGAAAAGAGGCGAGGGGATACACTAATGGCTGTGACGTTTGGTGGTGCGTGGCCCTCGGGGGCCGCGGGGAAGAGGGGGGGAGGGGAAGGGGCAAAATCCAAGCGCGCAGGCCAGGAGGGGCCCGCACCAGAAGGTCGCTCCGGCGAAAGGCCGATCCAGTCGGTAGCCGAAGTTTCCAACATCCGCATCCGCGGCCTCTCGGTCCGGGCTCCTCGGCCGCGACCCCGTGGGTACAGGGCGGCTCTGCGCAGACGCCCCGCGCGGGACGTATCTACACGGCCGCGTAACCAGGGTATCGTGCGTCCGTGTCCAGACCGCGAGGGCATGGATATGGATTATGCGCGTCGCTCGTGGGTCCTCTTCTCGGCGCGCGCACAGAAACGAGGGCCATTGAGATGACGACGTCGTTGTGGAGGTTCCTCGGCGGTTCTCATCGCCGCGAAAGGGCGCGGCTCGGGAAAATTGGTTGGTATGTGCACGTGTGTTGAGCGGCTTGGGTCGAGGGTGGGAAAAAGGGGTGGACGGTCTTCTCAGAAGGCAGAGAGGGCGTGTTGGACGGAGTCGGCCCCTCCCTGCACCTTCCTTCCAGCTTCTAGGGAGGCTTCTCAGACTGCAGGGAAGCTGTTAAGAAGCAGGGCGCCTTCTCTTACAAGGCGCCCTGCTGCTTAGGAGGCGCACTAGCAGATGCGTCGCCCTAACCCCGACACGGATCGGCTCAACACCTCGTCCGCCGCACTTGCCCTGGATCCATTCTGGACAGCTTTCCGGGGCGCCCAAAAACCTCCGCGCCGCCGCGGCCATCGTCGTCGTCGTCGTCGTCGTCGGCGGCGGCGGCGGCGTCGTCGTGGACGTCGTCGTGGGCTTCGTGGCGCGCCGGCAATCCTCACTTGTCCACCGCTGGTATGTCATGCTCGCTCGGCCTGGGGATGGGCAGTGCCCAAACAAGAAACCCTCCTCCTTCCCCTCCTTCCTCCGCCCTCCTTCTCCTCCATCCTCATTCTCTTCTCCAACTTCCAACGCCTTCTCCCCGTCCAATCCTCCTCCTCCTCCTCCTCGTCTTGCTCCATCTCCTTCACCGCTTTGATCTTCCTCCACCCCGTTCTGCATCTCCTCTAACCACCCTCCACCTCGTCCTCCTCATCCTCATCGTCCTTCGACTCCCCTGTGTCTTCCCTCCTCCTTCACATCCTCATCCTCCTCCTCTTCCTGATTCTGGCATCCTTGTCCTCCTGTTCTCCATCCTCCTCCCCCCCCTCCTCCGTCCTCCTCTTCCTCCTCCTCCTCATCCTGGCCCGTCCCCCCTCCCCCCTCCTGCTTATTCTGTTTCTCTTCCACCCTCTACTCCTCCAGACCCCCTTCTCCCATGACATCTGCGGGGAGCTTCAACAAAGACTGAATGGCTTCGCAGCAAAGAACTGCCCATGGCTACTGTGCAGGTCTGTGCCTGGTCCTGGGGGGTGGCCCCCACTTGATATTAGCATTGTCTCCCCAACGCTACTTTGCTGAGTTGGGTTCTCGTGTTGAATCCGCAGCGCCCCGCGTCCTCTCATCCCCCCTCCTCCTCTTCACCCTCCTCCTCCTCCTCCTCCTCCTCCTGTTCCTCCTCTTCCCCCTCTGCCATCCGCATCCATTTCGGCACGCACACTTACACACTTACACCTTTAGCTTCGCATCCACGCGCGCAGCGGCGCGGCTTAGTGCAGGTCGGCTTACAAACACACACACACACACTCACAACGACACACACACACACACTCACACCTTACACGTTTTGTGACCCCACAGGGAGCTCAACCCACGGTCTTAATCAGCCCGGTCGCATAACGTCCCTCCGCTCATGTCGGCACACCCTCACACGCTTCGGGGCCCAGTAGGGAGCTCCATCCACTCAGTGGGCCCGACAGCATAGCGTACCCCCGTTGATTTCGGCAAAACTATCACACGATTCTTGCTCCCATCTGGAGCTCCACCTGTGATCTCAGCGCGCCCAACCGCATAGCGTCCCCGCGCATGTCGGCGCACCCCTCACACGCTTCGTGACCCCGTGGCCCCATAGGAAGCTTCACCCATAGGAAGCTCCACCCTTTCCCTGGCGAGCGGAGCGCACCAGGAAGGCCCAGCGCCGACCCAAAAAACCCGCGCGAAAATGTAACTCCTCGACTTATTCAGCTCCCTAGCAAACTATCCGCCACAGCCGCGCCATCGGCGATGCATCGGCGACGTTGGCGATTCAGCAGGAGAAAATGGGGCTGGACATTGAGCCGCATTAGTCTGTAAAGTGGCGATGCGGCCCGATCCTCATACCCCGTCAACTCGGACCTAATTTGGGAGGCTCGGAGATATCACCACGGACGCCCGACGTCGTGATTTTTGTTCGCAATGTGGCTCCCGAAAAATTGTGACCCCTTCCCCGAGCCAGGATTTCCATCCCGAGTCGTGTTTTGACGGCCCCATGGAAGCCGGACGTAGCCACAATTGTTCCAACGACTTGCGGATGTCAGTGTCGTCCCCGCGTTGCCGCCGCCCCTCCCCAGACATCCGATGTCATGATGTCCGCCAGCCTTGTGGGATAAGGGTGTCTAGCGAGTTCGTTCCTTCTTTTGTTCAAAAACTTCTTCCCGTCCAGGAAATTTACCTCCCCCCCTCCCTCAGGTTTTCTTTGTGAGGGGGGGGCAATCAGCCAGGGCGCCCAAGATGCCCCAAGATGCTCCAAGAGGGCCTACAAGATGGCTCAAGACAGCCGACGAATGTTCAAAATAGCTTCCGACATAACTCCAAGAGGCCCGACGAGGGCCACAAGACGGTTCCAAGTGCTTTCAGAGGCCCCTCAGGACCCCTCAAGAGGCTCAAATCATTCAAAACCTGAGGAACACACATATTTGTGACTTTTCGCCTTTTCGATCCCGGTGCGCTTTTGAGGCCTCAAGATGGCCCCAAGATGGCCCAACCCAAAGAGAGCTCCAACATGCCCAAAGAGGCCCCCACGACTCCGCAAAAAAGCCCCAATAGGACCCAAAGATCCTTCAAAAGAGCCCCAAGAGGACTCCCAAAAACGGTTTTGAGGACTCTGTCCTGGTCCACCGTGTCCTCCTCCTCCTCCTCCTCCTCGTCTTCGTCATCGTTCTTGCCCTCGTCTTCCTTTTCCTTTTCTTCCTCTTCCTCGTTGTCGTGGTCGTCGTCGTCGTCTTCCTCCTCCTCCTCCTCCTCCTCCTCCTCCTCCTCCTCCTCCTTCCCTCGCCCCCATGCGGGCCCCAGCGATGGCCCAAAGAGGCTCTCCAAGGCCACCCCCTTGCTACCAGAGTTCTCTCTGTTCACACTGGTTGCCAACTTTGTTCCACTACACGTGTCTCTCCGTCCCTTTCCCCGTCAACTCTCATGGGCAGGGCTTCCGAATGAGCTGCTGGGGATGCGCGAAGCGTGAAGAATTTAATGCTGGGCCCCTGAAGCCCCGACACCATCCCCAACAGAGTGGGCTTTTCATCCTGCGTCGGTCTTTGACGGTCAAGGGGTGGCCGGCGAGGACCACCCAAAGCCAAAAACTAGGAAACACCCCAGTCTCGTGCTGTTCCATACGTAGCCGGTTCCAGAAACACTGAGACCAAAATTGTCTCTATTTCTTCGGGGCGCACCGTTTACTTCTTTTTTTACCAGCGCAACACCCTAGAAAAATCATTCGGATGTCTAGCGTCGGGCCCGTCACAAAACCAACCGTATACACGGCGCAACCTCAAAAATGCAAAGCACTACGAGGTAGAGGGCCAAAGGAGCGAGCACGCACGCGGGACCCATGACCCCGCGCTCGAGCACCCCCTCCTCCGGCTTCCGCCAGCGGCTTCCGCCGGCCTTCCGCCAGCGGCCTCAATTCGCCTCCGCCGGCTTCCGCCGTCCTTCCGCCGCCCTCCGCAGAGGAAGAGATGTCAACCCCTTCGACCCTCGAAGGCAAGGCCCTTTCGGGAGCGCGCCACACCCCAGGTTCTGCCCAGAAATGCTACCTCTTTTCGCCCTGGCCGCGCCGTCGGCTGCCACGGCGACATATGCCCGGCCCGGCGGGAACTCGGCGCGCCCGCTCCGTCGCCAGCACTCCCCGCGTTTCGAGGGGGCGCGTTGGAAAGGGAGAGACGGGCTCCCGGGGAGACCTCCGACGATATGATTTTCAATCACATATGGGGGGCAGAACTCCCCCCCAAGCAGGGGTTCGGGACCCCTGGAACCGCGGACTGCAAAGATCACATCGGCGGAAGTCAGGGGATCGGTGCAGGGCCCGCGCTGGCCAATCCGCACGCTCCTCGCCAGGAGGGGCCATCAGGGGTCGATGCGCCCCTCCACGAGGCTGAGTATCCCCCTCGTGATCCTCATCGTCTGGCTTTCGATTCACAGCTCGGGCCTCCGGCGGCCGTTCGGGACGATCTCGACACCCCTCGGCGGAGCTCAGAGCATCCCAAGGCTTGAAAACCCCCGAACACTGGCGAACACGTCCGAAAGAATGGCAGCCTGAACCTGTCGCTAGAGGCCTCCCTGATGGGGTCCGAGTAGATGGGGTCGGAAGATCGCGCCACATCGCCGATGCATCGCAGATGCATCGGCGACGTCGGCGATTCATCGGCGACTCCGGCGTGGACCATATCGGGCTCCGCATCGAGCAATATCGCCGATGGATCGGCGATGCGGCGCGATCCTCCGACCCCGTGGCTCCGACCCCTCTGGGAGATCTAAAACCGTCACTGACTACCTACCAGGCCACCCCAATCCAACCCGAAGACCAAAATTTCGGGTTGGGGGGGACGGGTTCCACACGTGTTTCTTCAGTGCTCCCCGAGCCCCCCCCACTGGAAATGGAGGGCAAATTGAAGCCTTCGGGTTGGGTTGGGGTCTTAGCTGCCCCGATACGCAACGCGCACCGCGCAGCGTATTGATACAGAGCTCGACACGTAGACTGAACGCGTATACGTTTTGAACACGGACGCTTTGAACACGGCACGTGCTGCGTTTCAAAACGTGCGCGTCGGAGCAGCTAAGGTTAGGTCGGGCCTGTCCCCCTACATGGTGATTTGGGAGGAAACGTTAAACATAGTTAAGAATAGCCCCAAATGGTCAAACAATGTTCAAAAAAACGTCCCTTGAGCATTTGTTTGACTATTTTTGAATATTCCCCCTGAAGAGGGACAAGCCCGACTTAAAGCTAAGGTTGGGGTAGTTTGCTGGGCGGTGAGCCCCCGAACTTCGAACGTCGCCCCCGAGGTCTGTGCGCCGCGCCCGGGGGCAGCGAGCGGGCGCGCGCGGCGGGATAGCTCTGTCGAGGTCCTCGCCCAGGAAGAGGATGAGGAGGAGGAGGAGGAGGAGGAGGAGGAAAGGGAGGAGGAGGAGGCGGAGGCGACGGGGGAGGAGGAGGAGGAGGAGGAGGAGGAGGAGGAGGAGGAGGAGGAGGAGAGGAGGAGGAGGAGGAGGAGGAGGAGGAGGAGGAGGAGGCGGGGAGGAAGAGGAGGAGGAGGAGGAGGAGGAGGAGGAGGAGGAGGAGGAGGACCAGGAGGAGGAGGAGGAGGAGGAGGAGGAGGAGGAGGAGGAGGCGGAGGAGGAGGAGGAGGAGGAGGAGGAGGAGGAGGAGGAGGAGGAGGAGGAGGAGGAGGAGGAGGAGGAGGAGGCGGGGGAGGAAGAGGAGGAGGAGGAGGACCAGGAGGAGGAGGAGGAGGAGGAGGAGGAGGAGGAGGAGGAGGAGGAGGAGGAGGAGGAGGAGGAGGAGGAGGAGCAGGAGGAAGCGGAGCCCCCGAACTTCGAACGTCGCCCCCGAGGTCTCTGCGCCGCGCCCGGGGGCGGCGCGCGCGGGCGCGCGCGCGGCGCCCGGCAGCGTCGACAGGCAGGCCGCCGGTGAGCCTCGAGCCGCCTGGCTGGGGACGCGGGGAGGGCGGGACCCAGACGCCCAGACGCCCGCGCACGCGGAGGACGGCCGCGATGAGCTCTTCGGCGCAGGCCCTGGGGATGTCGTTACCCTGAGGTCCGACGCTCCCGAACAATTGGAGCGGCGGGATTTTGGCAGTTTTCGGCCTCTGGGGGCCCTTGCCGGGCCCCGGGAGCGTCAGAAAACGGCTCGCGGGACGGAAAACGGGTCCCGGGGAAGTGGTCGGGACCACGCACCCAGAAAATTGGAGCAGCCGGATGTCTGGGTAGGGAACTCGAGGGGAGGTCAAAACCAATTTCTACTCGTTGTGGAACATCGTTGAAACACCCTCCGATTTTTTAGCCGGCACAAGCTTGCGGAGGCTCTCCGGCAGGGTCCCCAACTTGCCCTGGGCCCTAGGACGCAGCTCCCATGGACATCCCCACGCAAGCCCTGCGGGCGTGGCCGCGCGCGGAAGAAACCGAGAGGAGGCGGAGGCGGATATGTCCCAGTCCAGCACGGCCGACAGCGCAAGGAGCGCAGTGGCGCCCAGGTGGTTGGCGCTGCTGCGGGAGAGGGCACGACGCGCAAACCAGCGCACGATCGCAGTGCGCAGCAGGGCCCTCTCGTCCTCGCTCCTGCTCCTGCTCCTGCTCCTGCTCCTCCTCCTCCTCCTCCTCCTCCTCCTAGCTCCCCCGGCTGTGATTATCCTCCTCGTCTTCTCTGCGTCCTGCGTCCTCCGCCTCGCTGCTGGACGTCCAGCGTATCTTGGGTACTGCTTTGACGGTCATGGGGGCCCAGCATGGGCCCGCCCGAAACTCATAAATAAAGGGAGGCGGGGGCCTGGAAGGCCGTGGCACCCTCGCGTCGTGGCAAACATTACACCAGAGAAACACCCCGATCAATGGATGGTCTGAGCTGGGACCGATGAAAAGATCGATAAAACGATCGACCGGGAACCCAGGAACCCGGGAACCCGGAACCAATAGCCAGGACCCAGGGAACCCGGAACAGGGAGCCCGGGAACCCAGCCGGCCACCAAAATCGGCGGGCAACTTTCGCCACAATATCCGCTAGGACCCCTTCAGTGCAAGCACTGCTTGGAGAATCTCCACGGGGGCGGGTTCAGCTCATTTCGACCGCTGGGGGCCCAGAGCTGGGCCCAAGTGGCGTCAGAAGACTCGGGACGAAAATCGAGTCTCCCGGGAAGGGGTCCAGATCTCTTGAAGGGCAACGACAGGGGGGGGACAGGCATAGGGGGGGATACATTGACCTGGAATCGGCGATACATCGTCGATAGGTCGGCGATGGGCCCCTGATAGTGAATCCGCACATTCCTATGCGGGGTGGGACTCGCGGGCCCCTATCGGCGATCAATGGGCGATTGGGGGTCGATGCATCCCCCCTATGCCTATCCCCCCCTATCGTTGCCCCCGATCTCTGGGAGCCACTCTGCGACAAACACCACAGCGTCCCACGCTTGGGGATGATGACGAGGAGGACTGGGAGGACGAGGATGCCTCCTTTCATGCTCCTGTCTCGCTGTGTGAGCGCCGGTGTGAGCGTGGAGCCTCCCTCCTCCTCCCCCACGTTCGTTTTGCAACCCAAGGCCAGGCCTCGCTACCTTTTGCGAAGCTTGATGAGAAAACCAAAAAGCGCATGATCATGTATTGTTGGAGGTGCGCGTGGATTTCTCGGATCTGCACTCAATCCACCTTCCTGGCGAGCGGAACGCGCCAGCGGCGGCGCCAGAAGGCGCCGCCAGGGGGGCCCCAGCGCGGATAATTACAAGAAGTCCGCGCAGAGCTCCGATAGCATATGTTTATGCAACTTGCTATTCTTCGAGTTACCCTTGATGGTGAAGGGCGGTCAGGATTTCATCTTGATCAATTCTCGCACGGCGGCGGGGGGAGCAGCAACTGAAAAAAAACTAACCTCTCCTCCCCCGCCTAGGAACAGGGTACGTGGCTCCGCAGGGCAACGCGCGGCGCGCGTCAGGCGCGCGCGGAGGCGGTCAGCTGGCGGCGGAGTCTAGGGGCGCCTCGAAGCGGCACGCAGCAGGACGAGGTCGACGAGGTGAAGGCGAATGTGAGGACAATGGTGGCGACGACGAGGACTACGATGGTGATGATTTTGTTGCTGCTGCTGCTGGTGATCGTGATGATGATGATGGTGATGATGATGACGATAATGATGATATGGATAATAAGAAAGGTGACGATGATGTTGGTCATGATGGTGACGATGATGATGCTGTTGGTGATGATGATGATGATGATGATGGTGCTGATAATCGTGATGACGCTGGTGATGATAGAGATGCTGATAATGATGACGACAATGATCGTAATAGTGCCGGTGCTGATGATGCTGATGTTGATGACGATGCTGATGATGATGGTGGAGGTGATGATCATGACGATGCTGATGAGACGAATACTGATGATGGTGATGATGATGAGGATGATGAGGATGATAGTGATGATGATGGTAATGATGATGATGGTGATGATGATGATGATGATGATGGTAATGATGATGATGCTGATGACGCTGGTGATGATCGTGATGATGATTGTTATGACGACAGTGATCGAAATGGTGCTGGTGTTGATGATGTTGATGATGACGACGATGATGATGGTGGAGGTGGTGATCATGACGATGATGATGATGATGATGATGATGATGATGATGATGATGATGATGATGACAAAATACTAATGATGGTGAAACTGATGAGGATGGTGACGATGATAGTGCTGATGCTGGTACTGATTATGATAGTAATGATGATGATGACGACGATGATGATGATGATGATGATGATGATGATGCTGGTGATGATGATGATGATGATGATGATGCTTATGCCGATGATGAAGATGATGATGACGGTGGTGGTGGTGATGATGATGATGCTGATGCTGATGCTGATGCTGATGATGATGATGATGATGATGATGATGATGATGATGATGATGATGATGATGGCCTGTGATGGCGATTGACCGTGCGGTGGCCTCGGAATCTTCAAAGACCTCACCGCACGGCCCGTCTCCGCAAGGCTTTGGGACCTTACAGGCCCCAGCCATCCGAGAGGTCCTCGGAGAACGATCCGCGTCCCAAGACCGTGCGGCCACCCCGAATCCCCACTGATTCACCACACGGCGTGGTGACCGCAACCCTGGGGAGCCCCCGAACCCAGGCATCCGACAC